CCTTCCTTCCTTCCTTCCTTCCTTCCTTCCTTCCTTCCTTCCTTCCTTCCTTCCTTCTACTGCTAACTACTGGAGAACAAACAGACATTTCCTCACTCTGCTGCTGTCTTTAGTCCCTCTCCTCTATATGTTTGTTATAATAATTTCTGTCAACATTACATGTTTTTCTTTGTCTCTCTTCCAGAGGAAAATACACCTGGACCAGTCCTTCTGTGTTTGTCTCTTTCCTGTCCTCCTGAACCCAGCCGATCGAGGCAGATGGCCGCCTGTCCTGAGCCTGGTTCTGCTGGAGGTTTCTTCCTGTTAAAAGGGAGTTTTTGCTCTCCACTGCTGACAATGCGCTGCTCAGGATGGAAGACAGCAACGAAGTGATTCAACACAATATGTTGGCTTCCTTAGGTTTTTATTTTACTTTTTTTTACAGTGGCCTCGAGATGACATTTGTTGTGACTTGGCACTATATAAATAAACCAAATTGAACTGGGTTGGCTCCAAAATTTAATCAGTTATTGAGATACATCATTTCCTGCAACTTTCAATAAACTGTGGTGGTTCATGAGATATTTTGCTAACAGGTAACAGGAATACACGTCAGTTGAACCTGTGGGACAGGCAGCTGCTTTCATAGGCCTCTGACAAACACCCCCTGCTTAGTGGAGCCAAAGCATCATATTGAAATTATGCTATTGTCCTGTTGTCACAATGGGTGCATTCAGCCCCTGATCCACTCCACAGATGCCTGTTGGAAATCTTCTCACCACCCCCTGCCCCTCCTACCCACCCACCCACACAAATAAATTATGAGGGATGAGTGTGACAGCTGAGCTAAACTGAGAGGAAATAAATAAATAAATAAATAAATAAATAAATAAATAAATAAATAAATAAATAAATAAAACGATTTTAACATGAGTTTATGAAACCCCAACACGCATCTTCCACTTCCACCTGTGTCTGAGTGCAGAAGAGCTGCTCTTTAAAAAGAAGAAAACAAAAAAGAGGAACCATGTGGAGGGCGTGCTGAAGTTAATGTCAGTAAATAAGACAACTTTTGCAGAGTTTGCAAATGAAGCAACGTGGAGTGAAGAGGGTTTATTTTCCTCTCTCTCAACCTATCAYAAACATGCTTTCTCGAAAAAACGACGGCGATTTTTTTTTCCCCTCTGTGGAAAACCTGATTTGAGCCCAGAGAGGAAAAAAAAAAAAAAACCGACTGACATTGATTCTGTGACGCTCAGCTCTAACCCTGCCACTGACTCTTTAAAGCATYACTACAGCCTGGCAGGAGGATTACAGACGTAAAAAAAACACAACGTGAACGTGACCACCGGATGTTCCGGAGTGAGTAAATATTCTGCTCTGCTGCACTTGTTCAGCTTTGCATCTCATCACCTCCGCGCAGCTCCAAAAACACCCAGCAGCAGCAGCAGCAGTAAGCAACACGCGGCTCTACTTACCCAGAACAGGAAGTTGAACACGAACAAAATGTATTTCACGCACTTCATGCCTCCTTCCACCTTCCCCATGTCGACTGTTTGGGTTTTATCCCAGGAAAAAAAAACCTACAAAAAGCTCCGTTCAACTGACTGCGCGTAATGTGTGGTTCAGCCGGCCGCGCTTGCGCGTCAAGAAGCGCGCTGTTTCTCTCTCCCTCACACACTCGCACACAAAAACACCGCAGGATCCGCTAGACTCTTTCCAGACCGCCCCTTTCAGGACTGCAGAGGGTGGCTAAAGGGGGCTTAAGACTACTCGATGGGAACTCTGTTGTTGATGCTTCCTTAAAAAAAAAAAAAATAATAATAATAATAATAAAAAAAAATACGTT